AAAATGGTGACCATTTAAACAGGTTAATACCTCCTATACATTGAGTAGGAAAAGTATTACAATACTTAACTTCTTAGGGACTATTCTCGACTACCTTTCAACATATTTATATATCTGCCCTTGCACATTATTCCTAAACATAATTTCTATAAATATTTTCACTAAACTCTTGACCACAAAAACAGTTGTCCCCAAAGTTGTGTAGGGAAGCCGGAGGAACCATTACTGAGGAAATCAAATCGATTCTCGGCAGCTTTGACAGCTTGTTTACATCAACCAGCGACGGCAGGAGAAGGAGAGCAAAGGCTCTGCCAATGGAGTCGATAAGGCGAAGAAACCTATAACCAGACTTCCCCTCCACCTCCCCACCGGAATGTAGTTTGTAGCCAAATGGTTTTTGTGATATTTTCCCGCCCCCAAACGCAAAAAGGAAACCACCAAAATAGCCGGAGGCTGGATGTATGGAAGAATCGATGGACAGCTGCCAAAAATCGGTTATTTCGTTTAAATATTTCCACCTTTTTTCGTCGTTAATAATTCAATATATTTCACACAAGTCGAAATAGTGCAAAAAGTTGTGCCCACAATGAATGCGAGTTCCACTTGAAACCACATTCTGTAGGGTCGAACTTTTTTCGAAAATGCTTTCGCAAATTTGAGCAATTCCAACTTGTCCGAACTGAACGCAAAATCGCCTGTCAAACCCTGAAACAAAAAACACGATGGCGGCAGCCCCACAGTGACGTCAAATATGGCAGAATATTGTTCAGAAATTTATGGAAATTCACCAGCATAAAATGACCTGATTTTTTAATGGTTTTCGGTTGATTGTTTGTTAGGGGGCGCCTGGGCCATGATGTCTCATGAAAAAATAAGGCGAACCATAAACATTTGGGAGACCGAAAAGAAAACTCATTTTACACGTGATATAAGACACGGTGTCGTCGTCAGCGGACCTGCCAGGCCAGCTCAAAAATTGGAATTGGTCCGTGGGTCATGGGGTGAAAAGCTGGCATAGAATGCGTTTACTGGATGCCGGGCGCCTTGTGATTTTTCCAGAGTAACACCCGCACTGTTGTCACGGGGGGAGAATCCCGAAAAAAGCCAATATCGTCGACGCTGACAGCAGCACAGAGCAGCAGGGCAGAGTTAGGCCATATCCCTGGTTCCTGTCTCTGGCCCTGGTGCTGGCTCTGCCTGTGGATCTGGTGATGCTGATGGTGACAACCACTGACATGCCCCACACACATTGCCGGAGGGCCCGCAGCGTGTCAGTATTGGAGTGGAGTGTGGTGGTGCTGTTGGCGGGGGGCAGGGGTGAGGGGTGAGGTAGAAGCCAAATGCAAATTCCGGCAGTGTGTCGCCTTTTGGTATTGGTTTTGTTTCGCTTATACGCCCAGTGTATCGATTTAACTGCCCGCGTGGCTTCCCGTGGTGCAGCGACCGCCTCCGGCGTTGTGTCCTGTCCCCCACTCGTACTGGATGTCCTGGTCGCCCTGCCCTGGCCTGTGGCTTGTTTTCGGGTTTCATTTTCTACCAATTTTTTACAGCCCTAAAGGCTTGTTGTAGTTGTCAGCATCAGCAGAACATTCATTCACGTTCCCGTTCACGTTCACGTTCAGGTTCGTTGTCAGCCTCATTGTTGTCATTGTTATTTCTGTCTGCAGGAAATTGTTGTATGCCAACATTAAATTTTTCAATAGGTCAATTTTTGTCCCAGACGCCTAAGGCGACAGCATTTTTGCAAAAATGTATATTCACCTGTTCTTTTTTTCCCCGGCTTTAGCCATTTTACTGTTTGTCGGTGGGATTTTTACTGATTTTTACAGCTTTTATTCTTAAATTGAGGTTATCAGACAGATTTTCGCACTTTTGGCCGCTCAAATAAATTGATTTGGACAAAGCCAACAAGGAAATCAAATCAAAAAATGCTTGTGCAAATATCAAAATAATTGCCAGCGACTTTGATGGACATTTATGTACCTGCTGACTGTACGTGTGCTTATCTATATATGTGCTTCTCTGTTGATTTGCGGTTAGGTTTTCCGTTTTCCTCATGGATTTACCATAAATATGCAGTAGTTTTTTTCCAGCTCGTGTCAGAGTGCTAATGTCGGGCAAAAGTTTCCTACATTTGTGTGTCACAGATCCCTTCTCTTCTGACTCGAAATGCTGAACCTATTTTGACAGCTCAGACAAGAAGTGTAGGAAATAAGGTTGATAAAAAACTTATCTGGCTTCCATGTCTCTTTCTGTGCTAAAGGGAACACCTTTAACTTATTTTTGGGACACAAATGATATTAAATTTGCCAAGAGATAAGAACATTTATGTACATTTAAATATGCAATTTCGACAAAATCCATTGTTAGCTTGCTATTGAATAATATTTGATACGTTTGATACCGGATTTAATTACAGCTCAAAGAAGAAAATTAATTATTTTCAAACAGAAATTATGGCAATGCAGTGGGCAACAGAAATGCATGTACTTTAATTTTTATTGGCTTGCATGATATGCATGTATATGCACGATATATGAATATATAATAGCAACGAGCAGAAATGACAATTTTATTGAAAATGTTTATTCAATTTACAGATTTATCCGTATTTTTATTTTAATATAAAAACGATTGAACAATTGTTGAATGCTGCTCACATTTCAGTTCAACTCATATGGAAATGGAGCTGTCATCAACAATCCGCTCTGTAATTAATCAATTCTTTTCTCAATGGATCTATAATTAACTTTATAAATCCTCATCGAAATGGTCACCAAGAACGTTAACAAATCAAGGAACTTACGTTTACTTATCCTGTGAAACTCTTTTGAAAAGTTCCTATTAATTTAATTTAATTTCTACCAAGAACAATTAGCCATCAGCAACACTTTGAAATTTCATTAAAAACCACCCAGATCCGGGCGGGCAGACTTAATCTGTTTCCCAGACAAGAAGTAAATTATAATCTGCGAAAAACAATTTAAGCAGTCTGACAAAAATGTCAAACTCATGCTCGAGCATGGACTTCAGATGCTGCCACGGCTCTCCTCCTGTTGCAGCTGTTAGCTCTGCTACTTCTGGTGCAAATTAGATCGTTGTCCAAATTCGATTGTTTCATTTTCAGAGTTTTGCTACGAGACAGCCAAGGCGCTTCGAGGGGCGGCTGTCTGGGAGTACATTTGGTGTCCGAGAAAAGTTTTGCGCGCAGTTCTAATTAGCGCACTAAAGATATTCAACACTCAACGTAATTAAATGGAATTTTAAGCGATGCATCTCCAGCCAATGCTAGTGCCAGTGCCAGCGCCAGCGACGGTTGCCATTTGGTCGAAAGCGCCTTTAATTACGGACAGAAGGCTCCTGCTGTTGCAGCTGCAGCCTCTATTGCTGCCGCTGCTCCTGCAGATAGTGGAAACAAACAATTCTGTAGATGGAACAACTTTTTTTGGTGGGCTGCAGCAGGAGACTCCCCAGCAGTAGCAAAAACTTGGCCGCACAAATTAATCATAACTTTGGAGGCTGCCACTGCTGTTGCCTCTGCTGCTGCCTCTGCTGCTGCTGTTGCATTGGACAAAATGTTGCCATCTCCGCCCATTAAATGTGGGTTAGGCTCTCTGTTCTGTCACCCACACACAAAAAACACACACTTAAACTCATCCACTGGAAGATATGCCTGCGGAGTTTAGTTAAGTTTCCGTATATTCCAATTGCCTGGTGCACATTTTCTTTGCGTCGGCGTTGCCGGCTGTCCCATAAATCTCAGCTGTGCCTTGGCATTTATCAAAATTGCAGAAACTTTGTGAACGGCTGCAGCTGCGCAGTGGCCCAGAGACAAGACAAGTTCCTTGCCTTTGGCCTGGCAAGTTTTCCTGCTTGTCTTCCCCCCCGAAAATGGCCTACTCCAAAGAAGCTGCCGTGTGCACCCAGGTATGTGAATTAATGTTTTTTTGTAAAACTTTCTCCTGCCACAAGGACTTCTATCCCTGGCCATCTCTTGGGGCTGTCACTTATGTCTGCTGCTGAATGTTGATAAGCAATAAAAACCAGGACAACGACCAAGACCGAGACGGCAGCAAGTTGCATCAAAGAAACTCCAAAGAGGCGGTAACTTTGCTGTCAAGGCGACGATGGGTGGATGGATGTTAAGTGGAGTAGACACACCACTTGAATTATTGCACCAGCAAAGACAAAACATGGGGGCCACCTTGTCTTTGGGTGTTTATGGCCAAGAAGTTGTCTGAAAACAGCATATTTTGATGACTGTCTTTGATATATTCGTAAATTGGAGAAACAAATTATTTTATATATTTGCTGTAAATAGAAAATATTGTATAAAGTTGAAGATTTATTTTGATACAATTTATTAGTCAGACACAGACACCCAATTGGGTGAAACTGGTGAAAGACCGCAATAATTATTCTTGTTAAATAAACAGAAAACATGCAGCTACAAGGCGAATTTTCAAACAGCATAATTTTTTTGGTATTTAGCTGCAAAAATTTCACCTCTGAAAGTATAATTTTAAGGCCTACGTGACGTATTCGTACTTAGATCTCAATTCTGTTTTAAAAATCCGTTAAGCACTGCTTCAGTGAACTGCTTTCAACTGGTTGCACCGCTTGCAATTCGTACTGCTTTGCTGGACTGCTTAGGTAAACTGCTTTCACAAAGTAAATCCAAGCGGTGCAATTTTTGAATAAACAGTGCTGCCAGACTGTTGGAACAAGAACTGCTCATCGTTTTGAGCGCGCAACGTAAGTTCAAATTTGTTTCACCATTGACTTGGAAAAAGCACCAATGTCTTTCAATGCATTTATTTTGTAAGGATTGTTGTTTTTGTCAGAAACGCAAATAAATACAGAATTTTTGTAAATAAATAATATAAATAGCTAAGGTCTAAATGGAAGTACATAAATTAATTTAAATTATTTAAGAGAAAAGTCCAGTCGTTAGCACTAAGGAAGTTTAGTGAGCCACTAGCCTCCCGGTCTAGTGAGATCTAGACCTCATTACACTCCAGATACATCTGGCGGCAGTCAAATCCGGAGCGCCCTCGGCGACCAGCGTCGTACAGCTCCTCGAAGCTGCCGCCACTGCTGCGTCCGAGCACATAGCTGGTGGCGTAACTAAAAAAGGGCAGAGAGTTGTGATTAAAAAATATCTCAGGGCGGTGTTTTTCTTCTGGCGTGTGACTTACGATCCCAGCTGGCAGAAGATGCTGCTGCCGCCAATCTCGCGCACGCACTCCGTGTTGGCATCGCACATGTAGCGCTGCGTGCACTTGTCCTCTGAGTTGCGGTAGGTGCGGACGTAGCCCTTCATCAGGGAGATGCCCGCGACGACGGCGTCGCTCACCGAGTCACGTTTGCCCAGGGAGCGGGCAGTGAGGGAGCGGTGCGAGAAGGAGGTCTTCAGGGCGTCCAGCAGATTCATCACGATCTGAATGAACTGTGGAAGGGGGAGCATTGTTCAGTGGAAGGCGTGTGTGTGGAGTGTGTGTGTGTGTTTATGTTTGGTTGGGGACGGGGACGGGAACGGAATCGGGGCAGAGGAAGCATTAGTCAATTAGTCTTGCATTTGCTTGTGCCAATTCTAAAAGGTGTGTGTGTGCGTGTGAGTGTTTGTAGTGTGAGTGTGTGCGTGTAGTGGTGTATGTGTAAGTGTTTGGTGTAAGAGTGTGGTCTGTGTGTGTGTGTGTATGTGCATATAAAACATTTACATTCTCAGCACTAGGCAACAAGATTCGGGCGTGAGTTAAAGGATGGTAACTTTTGATCTTAGACTGATTTAATGCATAATTTTGATTAAAAATAATTCATAAATATTCCTATTCTTAGAAGATTTCCGTTCAAAGCATCCCAATTTTCCCTGACTTAAATCTAAGTGATATTTAATTAAGAATATACCTACAATCCTATTGAAAATTCTCCAGCAAACCATCTGGATGCTTTAGGACAATATCTTTTAACATATCTTCAAATTTATTGAAATCCTCCCCCGCAATCCCCTCCCCGATCTTGTTGCCTAGTGTTTCTTGATTTTGTTGTATGTTTTGTGAAAGCAATAAAGATGTTTACCTCGCCAGCTTGCTTGGCCATCGAGTTGACTTGATCGGGGTCTCTGGAGCCCAAAACGGCAGACATCACAGCCACCAATACGCCCTGTGCGATTTATTAGAGAGGAAGAGGTACAGGTAGAGGAGGTAGGCGGTAGGCGGGAAACGAACATAATCGAAAGAATAAGAAGAGCCAAACACCCAGAATCAGTATAAATTTAAGATTTTAGATATATGTATGTATGTATTTATGTATGTATGTATGTATGTATGTATGTATGTATGTAAAACGAAACAATGAACGATCCAACGATCAACGAATAATCAACGTATTACGATAAAAGCAAAACAAAAGTGGCACAAAAGCAATCAGTAAGTGTACACCATGTTATGTGGCTAATGGATCGATCGATTTACCTGCATGGGAGATCCGCCGTTGTCAACCTTATCGATGCCATCGCTGGGGGCTCCACCGCCCAACAGAGTGTTGATGATGCGAAGACCTGAAGAGATATATATATATAAATATGGATCAATCATGGGAAGTCCAACGAAGAACAGCTATCGAGTGAGACTTACCCATGGAGATCACATTGGCCCAGGGACTGCCACCCAGTCCCACCGAGGAATCCACATCGTCGGACTTCGAAGGGGCATTCACGGCGCCGTTGAAGAACATGGTCATCACGGTGGACAGCATATTGGACCACGTGAATCCGCCCGGACCGCCCACAGTCTCCTGCAGCTGATTGTTCTCCAGATCGTCCTCGATGTCGTCCAGAGCTACCTTCTTCGAGGCGTTCGGCTTCACCGCGAACTTCCTGGCACTCTCCTCTCCCCGATAGACTGGGGATTGGGCCAACTGGTGCTGTCTCTGGTAGACCTCCTGCTGCGGGAAGGCGTAGGTCGTCAGCAGGCAATTGCTGGCCACTATCGAGAGCAGCAGATAGGCGTGCACTTTACTCTGATTCCACATGACTGCTGCAAAGGACAGAGCAAAATAATTTGAAATTCATCGAACGGCCATGTCGGCAATTGGCATAACACTTTCACATTGCCCAATTGTGTGTGAATGAGTTTCCTTAACTGCCGCACGAGTCGGGCATTAAAATTAGGTTCGTCCCCTTTCAGTGGCACATGCTTGCCCTGATTTCGTTATGCTACGAGTATTACATACGTATGTACGTACATATTGGTCATAATTTGAAGTCTCCAAAAATGTAAACAATTGTAGGAATTGTAGATTATTCATCATAAAAATCAGTTCTTTCTTTTAGTTTTCACACAATAACATTTATACTCGTAAATACCTCTCTGGAACTACACTTTCACCCATTAAAATAATGAATTGTCTTGCAAGAAACCCATCTTAGTAGTGCAGCATTTCGTTTCCATTCAAATATTCTTTAACTGGCACCCAAAAAAAAAAGAGAAAAAAATATAAAAGCTTCGCCCAGGTATTGTCAAAAATTTTCCATTTCTCATGGAGCAAAAATTACTTTACAATTTCCATGGAAACCAGATAAGAAAGTTGTTGTGGATCGTAATTAAAGCCAACGCCAAAGCTCAAGCCAAAGCCAAAGCGTCTCCAGGTTTGCTTCCGAAACAGCTAGAAACTAGTCTAACTGCTCCCAATTAAGGTGTCGGTCAAACTGAACCTGTTCACCCATCCCATCCCATAGCCATACCCATACCCATGGCCATACCCATGGCCATGCCATACCCATGCCCATGCAGTGGTTTCTGTGGCAGAAGCGGCAGGGAAATTACCCAAGTTGAGAAACATAGAAAGCTGCCACAGGTGGGGCGCACAGCTGAGGTGCCAAGTAAGAGCAATTAGCAGAGACTTCCTCAATGCGATCATCACAGTTTCAGTTTTGCATGGTATTAGGAGCATTGGGAACCATCCAGAATCGAGCTCTTCATCCGAGCGAATTAGAATGGGGATGTGAATGGGAGAAGTTCTTTCATCTTCGCATTATTTCTGACCCGATCTGTTCTTTATTTTCTTTTTTAATATTATTTTGTTGCTGTGGCAAGAACCTGTTCCAGTTAGCGGTTCTCTTGCTCAGATGTCATGCAACAGGCTACCGTTACAATTAATAAAGCCAACGAGTGTGTGTGGAGTTGTGGGGAATCTCTAGAGTGGAGACTCTGGAGTCTAGAGGAATGCCAATGGCAGAACAGAGATTGCATTGATTTCCATTTAATTGCCGGCCGCCGAAGAACAGGCTCCCAGAATGGGTCAGACTGCATTGAAATGTAAATTGGCTGATCATTAATCAGACAGCAGCAGCAGCAGCAGAAAACCCCATCTCACGGTTATGCCAATCGAGATTTGATTGTTTTGTGACACAATTCGACACAGTTCCGTGGAAATTACGGCGATCATGTAAATTTAGAAAGCTGTTAGAGCCAGCTGCAGCTCCAGAGATCTGCAAGCGTGATCGAGTCGTTAAGATAATGGTAATTAATGGCTGAGGATATGATACCTGCATGTGGCAGAGAAATTTCATTGATTATACGAGAGAGAAATGGTAAAATGCCGGGGAAACTGTGATTGTGATGGGAAAATTACTGGCTTGACTCACAGAACTCTCATCTTTATGACAACCATCTTCTGTGACATAATTCTCGTCAATCGTTGCGCCTTTCCCTCCACAAACTTCTTTTTATTTATTTTTCACTTCAAAGAAACACGCAAACTTTAATTGGAAACTTCACACGAAACTCTTACTTTCATGGCCAGCAGCGGCACCAAATCGTTTGTCTAAAAATGGCAATTAAAATCTATATAAAAAGCTGCCAAAGCAACACAGCCATTTCAATACAGAGAGCAGCAATTACACGGCTGCAGTTGGTCAAAAGTCGCAAATTAGAAAGTGTAGAAACCGCAAAAACACCCAAAGGAAGAGAGAGAGAGGAAGAGAAATGCCAAAAAGAGGGGGAGTAAATATACGCGTATAACAATAACCAAGTTCTTTGGACGTACTCGTAAAAGGAGAAATATCATTGTAATTTATGTGATATTTATTTTCAGTTTCGTTTGCGGTCTCGTGACGAGGCATGCTCCACCGGGTTTCTGGTCAAAGTCAAAGATGAGAAAGCGGTAAAAATGTTCGTGATTTGCGGTAAGTGAGCACAGATACAGAGAAAGAGGCAGAGATACATAGATACATGCTCATGCCCAGTGCTCTCTGCTCTTTTGTGAATCATTCATTCTCTTCGGTGAAGACCTAAAAGAGCGTTAGCCAGATTTCTGGACAGTCATGGACTGGTTTCCGCAGAGAAACTTGAGCAGAGCAGCCTCCACACCACAAAATATGCAGGTTTCACTTTCTTTTTGCCCAGAATCCGAGCCAAGGTTTATTGACCAAGAAGAGGTTAACAATTTTAAATAAATAGCAATTGTTTAGAGTGGTGTACTTAACCTTAATTGGCACGCACTGCGGCTTTCTAGCCAGTTTGTGGCTTAAGTCTTTCGTTTTGTATCGCTGGTCAGCAACCTCGAATGAAAAACCGCTAGCTAGCGGATGGCATTTGGCCAAATGATTGACGAACTGTGCTGCATTTTAATTCGCCTGTAAAGTTCGTGCGTGAGGGTAAAGAGTGTTGACCAGTTATATCGATTATTTGGTAACAAATTTCCAAAGTGACGCAATCTGACGGCAAACAGAAATGATAGCCAAGGGATTTCAGGCAAGGAAAAGTTGACTAAAACTTGTCTCCAACTTTTACTGACCCCAAAATGCAGTCTGCAAATCCAACAGATAAATATAGTTGGCGACTGCAAGAAAGCAGAACAAATTGCACTTGCAATTGCCATTGCCATTATGGTTATTAGTCAGCTGCACTGCAGCTGAGACACAAATTGCGACTGTCATAGCAACCTGAAAGTCATAGCAGTGTCAAAGAAAGGCAATGTTTTTTGCCTTAGTTTTAACCACACTGCCAGATAACATATCCCCCTCAAGGTTCAAGGCATTCTCTCAGAGTGCAATCAACGAAAACAAATTCAATTTAACTCGACTCCAAAGGCAACTTAGCAGCTTCAAAGCAAAAACTTTCACCTCACTCTACTTGACAACCGAACAGCCAGCCAGCCAGTCAGCAAAACCAACAACTACAACCGCAAAATGCCAAAAGAAACCAAAAACCAACAACAAACCGATAAATGAATGAAAGTTACCAAGGAAAAAAATGAGAAGAAGTTAAATAAAATAAAATATCTTGCTTCAAGGTAGAAGACGAGACGATAAGAAATAAATAAAGGGCCGGCAGCAGAAAATCAGAAAATGGGTTGAATGCCAAGCAAATTGGTAAGCAAATGGCAGACAAACGTGACCTTTTACAGGCAATTAAATAAATAAAATAAATATATATTCTGTATAGGAAATTGGCCCAAAAGACTTGTCCAAAAGACAGGCATTAATTGGCAGCAGCCAGCAGAGACAGCAGAAATTCTGAGAGAAAGAGCAAGAGAGTGAAGAGCACATGGAATCAAGGCCACAGACAAAACGGCCGCAAGGCCTCCTCCACAAAAGGAGAGTTGAGAGCGCCAAAAGAGGGGGCCAGAAAACGAAAATTCTTTGGAAAGGTGGACAGACGGGCGACAGCCGCCCAATTGGGTCAGTGGGCGGCCATCATCATCGTCGGCGTCGGCAGCACTGCACATTGGAGGTTTGCTTCACATCGGTTTGCTTTCCAAAGAACCTGGGCTCAGTGCACATTTCCATACGTAGCCGGGTCTGTTGCCTCTTGGCCAAGAGTGCGTGCCCGGCTGGTAGTGTCCCCCACCTTACACCGCATCGACCCGCACCTCACATACGCGTCTCTGCTTACCACATGCCGCCGCCCCCCCCACTCTCTTTCTTTTGACATGTTCCACGCTAGGTCCAGTCGATGGGTTTCTGTTTGCTTTTTCATGCAAAGTTGTTAACTCGTTTAACAGAAATTCTCTCCTCTCTCGCTCTCGCCCCTTCTTCGGCTCATTTTTGTTGCTTATTTATGCTTCAAGTTCTGTTATTTCTTTAGGCCTGACCCAAATATTTGGCTGTTGCCATAAAGCCCCAATTTGTTGGACAAACAAAACGCATGGCACGACGACGGGACAGAACTGTGGCATTCAATCAATTGTAAATAACTTTCTAATGCTCTGGTTTTGGTTCTGGTTCTGGCTTTAGGCTATGGACTATGGCCCTGGGGTAGACACAGTGCTAATCAATTGGTTTGTGGATCAAGCTTAAAGACGATATGGCTTAAGCTGCGAAATAACAAGTCTATCAGGTGATCTTGGTGGAGATTATTGAGTGCAGTGCTTCAAAGGGAAAGGGCACGTCACTAATCTAAAGAATCTTTATTCATAGTCGCATAATATTTTATAAAATTTAAATGTGGTCCTTTACATAAATTGCAGAGCTCTTAAGCGGAAAGTAGTCGTAACATATCCATGATAAATCATTTAACGAACCTACTTAGTATTATAAACTGTTCAGAACTTAGATAGATTTAAGGAAAATAATTCCAAGTATGTTTTAGTTCTTAGCAGATCCATAACCATATTAGTGGTATGTAAATTAAAGTACGGATCCTCAATAGATGTCAGAATCCAAAGAAATGGACCGGAAACAAACAACGGAAACATATTTTATCCAATGTAATACTACATCATAAATTAGTCATACAAATCTCCAAGAAATACAACATTCCACAATATTTGTTTCATGATTAAAAACTCCCCACTATATCCGCAAACTTTTGCCGAAGATGACATATACAAATGATGAAATATCTATCTTGAATTTTAGTAAACTCCCAAAATAGCTCATAGATTAAATTATAATTTTCACCATTTAAAATCGCTTTCATTAAATTGAACAAATAATGGAACTCTTTAATGGAATGTCTCTGAATTAAACCATTTCAATTTGCACAGTTCCATTACAAACTGGTTTAGTCGGACATTTTTTTTTTTGC